TCCACCCTGACCAGAGGCGGTTTTCCCGAGAGGAGGTCAGAGGGATGTTCTTCCCCATCGCTCCTTGAAGAGGGTGTGGTTTGAGCCTTGAACCCGTTGCACCCAAAACTCAATGCTCCACCATTGACTGACACTCGTTTCCTGACAAACAAAGCAAATTTTTAATCCTTGTGTTTCTCGATAAGGGCTGCTTTAACTAGAAAGCTGCCTTAGCCCAAATCAGACCCAGTGGATTCCAGTTTGCCCATTCTGACCACCTGCCGCTCCCTTGAGTTTCGGGATCCAAATTCTTCCCTTACCTGGGAGATGGCAGGAATTGAACCCGTATGCAGAAAAGCGAGGTGTCCTGCCAGTCAGCTACAAGGCTCCCTGGTGCAAATCTGGTTTGGTGGAGGTTAAAACCTTGGAGATCATGGCTTACTAGCTGGTGGACCGAGCTAACTCTTCTGCTCAACCTGGACGGTGAAAGAGTTTTCTTTGCCCGGTGGCAGAAATGGCTTTCTGTGTCAGTTTGCGAGAACGTTGATGCTTGAAGCTAAGAATGAAACTATCATCCACGGCTCTGTCTTTGGAATACTTTGGGGAAAGTCCACTCTACCCGTTAGGTTCCCCGTTTAGCCTAGTATCTCCAGATCAGAGGGTCTTGAGCAGCATCTTCGAGAAGAGGTTCCTCTTAGAGACCATTTATGGGCGTGCTTTGTTTTTGTTTTTCTTGCACACCAAATCTAAGAGTTTTTCTAAGTTCCCCGGCAGAATTCTGGGAGTCCCAACTCATAAAACACGTACCTGCAGACACTTCCCTTCCACTCGCCTGTACGAGGCGGAGACTTCTTTCTAGGCCTTCTTGTAAAAACCTTCATTTCCTGCTGCAGCGCTCACTGGGAGTGGTAGCCTAGCTTCCCTTTGTGCTCTCTAGAGGGCACCTCCTGAAGACCTGGCATTCCCAGAAGGCTTTGGGGCGGCTTCCTCCCAGGAAGCGCCGCATCAGGGAACGAAGGCCTAGCCGTCTTGTCCAGGCGAGTGAAAGGAAGGGGACTTCTGCTGCTATGGGCTTGTGGTTTGTGACTCCCTAATTCTGCACACGGAATTCTAGGAGGTGGAGTTTTTAAAAAAGCCAAACACCACACTCCTGGAGCTGTTTTGGGTTTAGCTAAACAAATGTCTACCATGATGCAACATAGCAGGCTTCATACACAGCGGCAACAGAGGGTTCCCAGTGTACAGTGGTGTCTCACTAGACGATGAGAATCCGTTCCACTGAAATCGCTGTTTAGCGAAATCATTGTCTAGCGAAAAGCATTTCCCCATTGGAATGCATTGAAACCCGTTTAATGCCTTCCAATGGGGAAGAATCGTTGTTGTCTAGCGAAGATCGGCCATAGGAAAGCCGCTTTGCGAACCGCCCGATCTGCTGTTTAAATCGCTGTCTTGCGAAGCTTAGGTCCCGAAAACACCAGTTTTGCGAGTGCGGAGGAAGCTGTCAAAATCGTCGTCTAGCGAAAATCGGTTTGCGAAGCAGGGACCAAACATTGTCCAGCGAAATTCCCCCATAGGAATCACTGTTTTGCGAATTGCTATAGCAATCGCAAAGAGTCAATGTCTAGCGAAAAAACTGTCATGCGGTTGTAACTGTCTAGCGAGGCACCACTGTATTCCTTTGGACCGCTTCCTGTTTCCGGAGTGCAAGCAGGAAGTGGTCTGTGCAGCTCTCCCATCCTCTCCACGGCGTCCTGCCTCTTCCTCCTGGGCCGGCAGGCGGCGGGGCTGCATCGGGGAAGGAGCTTTCGTGGAGCAGGGCTTTGCGAGGCGGGTGGGTCAACGTAGAGGACACCGATAGCTCACCCGCCATGCTTTGGAAGTGGAGGCTCCCATCGGTTTGTCCGCTGGTGGGGCTGCCTGCGTTGGGAAAGCTCTCTGGGTCACCTCTTGGCTGGAGAAAGCGGCCAGCGTCCCTCTGAAGCCAGGCTGTGCCCCAGGATCTCTCTGGCGGGTCGGGCACCCGTCTCTCCCCTTGGCAGAGGACCTGCGGCCCCAAAGTTTGCTTCTAAGCAGATTCTGTACCATTGCTTCCTTGCTTCTCTTCCTTAGGTACGAAACCACTTCCTCTCCTAGTCGTCTTCTGTGTTCTGGCACGCATTTACTAATACACGGGGCTTAATCTGACGGGACGACTTTCGTTCCTCTGATGATCCTAAATGAAGCAGCTCCCCCCCCCAATTGCTTCAACCCCTTCAAAATTGCCCCCTGCTTCCATCCCCACCCACCCCGCTGGAAACCAGTTGGGTTGGCGTGCGTAAACGGAGGCGGGACGAGTTCCCCCATCTTGGGCGTTCTACTAATCTTCCCTTTTTTTCTTCTTCTCCCCCCCCAACCCTCTCCTCTCTCTTTTTTCTCCCCCCCACCCTTAACTTCCTCCTCTTCCTTGCTGCTGCAGAGCGTCTGTACAGCCAGCTTGAGAAAAACCGTCTGCTCGCTAACGAGCTGAAGTTAACGCTGCATGATCTGTGTGACTGAGACCTGGGGGCCACTAATCCCGTTTAGAGTAAAATAATAATAATAAAAATAAAACAAAGGCAAGCCTTCTTATTGGCAGGCCCTGGGAAA